TATACAACATTTTGTTCATCCTTTAAATGTCAGCACTGGTTTGAGTGTCTGAGCCTCTTTTTTGTAAACTGAGTTCTCCACAAATAAAATTACTTATCCCGGCAGTTTTGAAGGTTTTTTTGAGGGTGAAAAGAGTGCAGATTTCAAGCCCAGACGCTGCTTTATTTTTGGTGATAAGGAAGGTGATAAAAAGGGACATTTTAAATTCTGCTTTTCTCAAATAAGAAACAAAACGTGTAACATTGAAGAAATATTGTGGGATTTGGTGCGGTTTAGAAGCAAATAAATCTTGTCAAACGTATGTGTAATTCATTTTACTCCTCTAAGTGCTACCATCAGAACATGTTAATTATGTCTAATCCTTTTATCCTCATTATTTGATTCCACTAGATGATGTGCTTCTTATAGGTAAACATCAGTTTATATTTGTGACTAGAAATAGTTGTAGCTTTTCATAAATTCATGTCTTGAGGCTACAGTGATTTACGTTATTTGGGAGTGCTGTGGTTAAGAAATAAAGCAACCGTGGAGAAAATGTGTTTCCGGACTCTCGGAGGACTTGCATGCGATCGAAGGAGTTCCATTAGAAATGAAAAAGGGGGATGACTTATGTAGACTGTTCCTGCTTGCCATTGCAAATTAAGTTGTCAGATGCATTGCTTGATTTTGTATATTAAACAGATGATTTCAGTTCTCAAGCAGTTTTTTTGATCAGTTTAGTCTCTTGATTGTTTTTTCTTTAAATTTGGAAAATAACAGCTGAATTTTTAACCCCAAAGCTACATTTTAAAGTCTGTCACCTGCAAAAAACCCCCTTCTGGCTTCGAAAGCCGTAATTGCATGATACGCATGGCTGTGCACGCTGTTGTCCCCACTCTCCCTTCTTTCGTGTTTCGGGCTCAGTGGGCAGGTCACTGGGCTGTGCATAATACCAGCCTTGGGTAGTGAATTTAACACTGCCCTGGTGTTCCCACCATCGCAAGGGTAGTGACCTGCTTTACAAAATGCTTTGAGACCTCTTCATAAAATGTGATAGAGAGCAGTGGTTTGGGGTTTTTTTTTTTGGTTTAGTTTTGGTTTTTTGCTTAGTAATAGTAGCAATATGGTAAGCATGTAGGATTATTCTTTTTATATTTTAAAAAAAAAGTTTAATTACACTCTTAGCTTTGTCTTAAACCCTCAAAAATACAATGAACAGTGTGTATTTTTGTTATAGTGATAAACGTGGTCAGCAGTTAAAATTTCCAGAGTAAGTTATGGCTTTTAGCCAAATGTCTCCCAGTTAAAGTAGAATGATGAATGTAGCTTTGCAGGTTGCAGTTTGACAAAGCAGCAGTGGAAAACAAAATGACTACGGGTAAACCCACCACGCTGCCTGAGTCCTCATTTGTCTCTTGATCGTTCTGATGAATTTTCTCTCTGCCTGTGCCTTGTGCTTAACGGAAAAGTGAAAGTATTTTTTCCTCACTTGAGTCATTTTCACTGACTTTTCTTCGATTATATGTTTCTGTATGTTTGTGCGGGAGGTGAAGGGGATGAACTCAGAGGGAAGACTTAGACCGGCAGTTAGTGTTAAAAGTCTATGCTGGTTTGGTAGCTTGAAATAGTTTACTTAAATACTACACTCTCTTCTTCTGCCGGAAGCACTAAATTTGTTCAAATGATGGTCAAAGAATAAGAAATTATTTAAGAGAATAGTTATGTTTAAAATACTGTAAAAATACAGAACTATTTCAGAGTATATGAGACTGTGATCTTAGGGAGGTACATAATGAAGAAACTTAATTTCAGAGCTATCTTAAATTCAAATATTAAAATTCTTCAAGGTTTTGTTGAAGAGTTTTCCGTTCCTGTGCTGTCAAGGCTTCTGTAAAGTGATACCCAAATTTACAACCTCTTTATAAGATAGGAAATGGGGTGAGAGCTATGAGGGGAATAAGCAGTGAGACTTTGTTACTGGAAAAGTGTGCTGCTTTCCCCCCCCCCCCCCTTAATATTATCTCATGGAGAAATGGCATATAAGCGCGTGCGTCCACGCAGACCCATCACACACACCAGACCTTCTGTCTTCTCATGTCTGACTACAGTGATTGTGGTCACCCAGGAGAACAGAGGTTACAGGCAAGGCAGGAGGCTGATGGCGTTTGTTCCTTGAGGCATGTTACACTGGAATTTGGGTTTACTTTCAGTCTGTCAGATTCCTGGTCTGATGACTTTCAGGCTCGCTGAGGTGTAGTGCTGTTTGCTCCCAACTCTGTCAGACTGCTGGGAAGATGTCCGTTGTTTTGAATTACACCTCAGGTATATCTTGATTCACAACTCCTAGAGGTCCGAAAACTGCTTTTCAAGAACTGTAACCAACATACTTGAGAAACTGTGATACTGGATTGAAGTACAGAATAATCAACTATTAAAATTCCGTGCATCTTTTCTCCTGGTGGTCTGTAACAGCTTTCATGGAGTTCAAAATTTAAATACGTCATCATTCTTGTAACTCATTTTTATATTGTTTATGTTTGAAATACAAGTTCCACCCACATATCAAAGTACTGCTCAGTTTTGCCATTGAAATGGCTATTTTGTATTCCCTTCACATTGAAGGGCCTACTTCATGCTCCAAGAACGATGAGAAACTTGTTTATGAAATTGGTGTGTATTCAGCATTAACTAAAGATGGCATTCAGCACTCCAAGAAGAATCTTTAAAAATGGCTGAAAGCCGTATTTATACAGTGGCAACCAAGACACATCTGTGAGATTCTCTAAGACTCAGTCACCGTCTCCTCTGTAGGCACGGATCTTGTGAATGACAAGGTGGGGGTCTTTGGAATGGCTGAAGATTAGCATCCCCTGCGGTTTTGTAATTATCAGAATCTGGACAGTCATTTATTTGAATGAAATAATGCATACAGTTTGTGCCTCCAAAGAAAAGCATGCATAATGTGATTGTAAGAAGAGGTTTTCAATCTCTCAGTGGGATGTCATAGGGTATGTTTATAAACTTCAACCTAGCAGTTGCTCTGCAGTGGAATTCCACTGGTATTGAGATAATAATTTGCACAGTCAAATTGCTTTCTTTACAAAAACCCAGGGAATTATGAGACCCTAATCCTTTATTAATGTCAACCCATAGGCAGCAAGAAAGCGTAAGATTGCCATTCGAAAAGCCCAGGGGAAAAATCTTGAGGCCATCCGAGAGCTGAATGAGTATCTGGAACAGTGAGTGTCTTACAAGAATACGGATAGTGTTTTGCTATTCTGATAAATCTTTTTAATTAAAATGGAATTTGCATTTGATTTACGCTTTTGCTTCCATGCTGGTCATTTACAGAATCCCTTCCACATTCTTTCTTTTTTTCCTTTTTTCCTCTCTTGTCTTCTCTATACAGATTTGTTGGAGACCAAGAAGCTTGGCATGAACTTGCAGAACTTTACATCAATGAGCATGAGTAAGTTGTTTGCCAAGTTCACATAAAAACTGTTAAATTGAAACCTACTCTGTGTAAGTCAAAGACCTCGGTGATTTTTTTTTTTTTTGAAGGACTGGTGTTAGAAAGTATGCTGTCTCATTTCCAATATAACAGGCATCAACAGGAAATAATTACCAACCTTATTTGACTACCAAATGCTTTAAGACGGCATTTGATTTTAAAACAGAAAGGGTTTACTTAATTACCTGTATGTTTCAATAATTTTTTTTAAAACTGATGTTTTAAAATAAGTGGTTTGAGTGTAGCAGGGAACAGCTCTTACTTCCCATAATTTTTCATTCAAGTGATGTTTTTTATTAGTTACAGATTTGTAAATGCTTTACTTCTAAAATCAATTGATCACGGCAACTGATATTCTGATTTTCTTTTAGCCTGCCTCTGCAAGAACTTTTAGTAACCTTTAAAAAAAACCCCAAAAAACCAACAAAACATGGATCCAGAGTTAGAGGCATCTGGTCGCCTGGGTACAAAACCCAATGCAATCAAGAATGCTGAATGTTGTAGTAACTTGCTTATTGGATATTTAATGTTTTTGTTAGCTTTTTTTTTTATTGCTGTAGTGACAGGAGGAAATCCCAGTGTGAGAGGATTAGCTCAAAGCCTTAGTGCAAGTTTTCTAATATCACAGCATTAATTCTAACCTCCACCCAAAGACGTATCTTTTTTTTTTTTCCCCCCTTCTTTAGTTCTTCAGCCCAGCCTGACTTATAGCACATTATTTGTTTCCTTCCTTTCTAGAGAGTAGTAAAAGAATCAAATTCTCAAGGAAGAAATAGCCATTCTCACTGCAATGAAAAAAATTGTTCCCCCATCACCTCTTCTTCCACCCCATTCTCAAAGAAAATAATTATTAAACTCTTCCAAATGCTGACTTAAGGAATAGTCTAGAATTTTGATACCCAGATTTTCATTTGTTTTGAGAAATTCACCAGCCACTTTTCCAAGAAAATAGCTTTTTTTTTTTTTTTAAATGGTTAGAAAGATATTTAAGCTTGTCAAATCTGTCGGTGCAGAAGTGAATGATAGAGTGGTGCAAACATATGTATTGCACTACTCGGTTTTTTTGTGGGTTGGTTTTTTTTTTTTGGCTATATTCTTTATTACAAAATTGTGTAATAAAACCTGAGAAAGAAATTGCTTTTGCTTGTATTGGTCGTGGTCTGTAATTCCAATAAAAAATAATAGGTAGAACTTTCTCCAGTTCATTGAAAAAATTGACTGTGCTCACTGTACTTTCATGAGCATCATTGTTATTATTATTTTGATGATTAAAGGGGAAAAAATTGGAATCTTGGCTAAAAAGCAACTAAAAGTTGATTTTTAAGAAAGGCAAAGGAAACAATTCTTCAACTTACTTTTTTTATCAGTGTCACAAATTTAGCCTTGCTTGTGAGATCACCATGCTGTTACTGTTGTTCATAAACACACATAGATATACAAGGATTATACAGTCTTCAATTTTATGCTGTGTTCTGTTATGAGGACTGTGGCTTCTGCTTTTGGAGAATGCGGTGGCTATCCTTTTATCTCCAAATTAATATCCGAAATACACATGCGACTATCCTAATGTGCACAGGAGAAAACCACAATATATACATTTTGAGAAGTAAGACTTTACAGATTATATGGTTTAATATTGTCTCATAATTGCTAAATTACTTTAACTCTGATATTAAATATCTGTCCGCACTGTCATTATAATTGCATCTCTGAATTGTGGAATCCTATCATGTGAACTGTGCAACAGTGCTATCACATACTCTGCAGGAAACTCTATTAGTTGAACGATTATGAAGCTAAGATTTTTATAATTAACTTACATTTATGAGCTTGAATTCTTAATTCTTTCTGAAAGCTTTTATTTAAAGAACAAGTACTGGCCTTTTCTTTTGCAATAAGTCGTTGCCCATTTGGACTGGTGTGATGTTATTTTCATATATAGATTTGAACTGTTCGATTTTTTAGAACTGTTCTTAGTATGGTTTTTCAATCTCACTTTTGTGGTTGACTCTGAGCAGGTAAAGTTAACTGACAGTGTAAGTGCTCTGGTCTGTAGCTTGGTTTGTGAATTCTCAGATAGCTGAATTTTCTTGTGGAAAAAACCCAAACTATTTTGTAGTCTGAGTTCAAACGTCTTATAGTACCTAATGCCTGTTTCTGCTCATCGCTCTTGCTGATCAGAAATGGCACTTATTAATAAGAAATGAGTGTATAATTGCTTTCCATGAGCAGTTTAATATATACCTAGACTATTAAATTTTGTACATTTTTTCACTAGATAGTGTGATGTAAAAATAGTAACGTGAGGTTTCAAGCATCGTTTATAAATAAAATTTTTTTTTAATTGTGAATCACGTGAAGTTATGGGGGAAACGTAAGACTTCTTTTATTGTGCTGTAAAGAAACTGGAGCAAAGAACTGTATGCTCTGTTTCGTTTTGTTACTATTTTTTATATTCTTCAGCTATGCAAAGGCAGCCTTCTGCTTAGAGGAGCTTATGATGACTAATCCACACAACCACTTATATTGTCAGCAATATGCCGAAGTAAGTATTTTTCAGAAAAATCAATTATGTTTGAATACATATTCTGTTTTTATGTTACTGAAGTGGTGAAAATGGAATAAAAATGGCATCTTTAATTTTTCCCAAGGAGATTTAGGAGAGTACACAGAGAATGTTAACATCTCATAGAATTTAACATGTTAAGAAAACTGTTTTCTTACTCAGTATGACTAAGCTACGAGTAAGGGCAGGAATTACTGAAGGTAAAAATTAATTTTAAATGAGCTATTCTTGTTGAAGGGTTTATGCACTTTTCAAAATAAATGCATGAGAAGTTAAAACTTTTCCACAACAATACTGCCTAGGAGGTTATGATAAATTGCCTGTTATTGTGGAGCCAGATCTTGGAATCCACGTAGGAAATTTTGCCTGAAAGAGTACAAGGGGGAGAGAGGGCCCTTAGAAGTTTTAGCTCAAGGATTTTAGCCATTTGCACTCTTTTCAAATGTGTATTACTTTTTTCCTAAATTATGCTGTTAAGTGCTTAGAATGGATTTAATTTGTTTTGCTGATGTGGATAGAATTGGGTTAACATTAAAACCTGAAAGTCTAAATAGCTTTCTGGTAGAAAGGCTGTGAAGCATGTCTTCTAGTATTTGCCCCTCTTTTTATTGATCTAGTAACAGGCTAAATGAATAGGGAAACAGTGGAGTAATCTTCTAAACTTAATGCGCTATTTTACAGTTGAATGTATAATGAAAGGTATTGTGTTGTTTTGTGTACTGGTGTAATGCTGTGCTGAAGGAATATAGACTTAGTGAGGATTTACAGCAGTCAGAATGTAGCTTTAGATTTAAAGTTTGTGTTACTTTTCATAAGAGACTATCCCAAGATTGTATGAATAGGTGCAAAATAGTAACTTTTTATTCTTTTATCAATAAAATAATTAAATTAAAGCAGACTTTTTTCTTCCTATAGCTAAGTATTTTAAAATTTGTATATTGAAAAGAGCTTGGATTTCTCCCAAGCCAGTGTCTGGCCGTTGGTAGGTCTCATCTGATTTGAAATATCATGTGAAACAAACCTGAAGTGAAGCTTCTTAATATCTTTGCTTCCGGAGTGAATGCCTGAGGTATGGATGACGTGCAAGTTTCAGGAGCTTATAATTTTTGCAGGTTAAATACACTCAAGGGGGGCTTGAAAACCTTGAGCTATCAAGAAAGTATTTTGCACAGGCACTGAAGCTGAACAACAGAAATATGAGAGCTTTGTTCGGACTTTACATGGTAAGCATGATTATGTATTTTCCATGTTACCATTTTGCATATGTTTTTATGCATGTATATTATCCTTTACCGTTTGCTGCTTTTTTTCTTTTAGTTGAACTTAATAGCTCAGATTATTAACACTGTTTTTAACACTGAGTGTGGACAATTTTATGCCAGTAAGTACTCCTTACTTGAAGTGCTCTTAATCTTTAAGTCTTGCCCATGTTTTCCAAAGAATTATAGTTATTGGCCCATGAAGGTAACTTTTTGAAAAAGGATTTAAGGTCATACTCAACTCTACAGGATGGTGAACTGCTGAAGAGTACCAGCACAATATGATGGCTGCTTTTTTTTCTGACTACTGTTTTTTTTCCCCAGCCTTGGTTTTTTTCTTTGTATTTTCTCACTCCAATTTCTAAATACAACTTTCTACTTTCAGTTTCACAGCGAGTCCTTAGCTTACACAGCAGGCTTGAGTGTGGCTATGACTACAGTGACTATGAGTAGCATGTACTGGCACCAGTTCTTCAGTTTCTTCAAAGATACTGAGGCCTCTATTGAAGATATTCCTTTAGATCTTCTAAAAGATCTTTTTAGAGACAAACCCAGAAAGGTTCCTTCTTTTTTTTTTTTTTTTTTTTAATAATTTCTAGGCCACCCTTTTGTCCCTTGAAAAGGGGGCAGTTTACAGAGATGCATGAGGCACATAACTGCGTCTTCCTCTAAATACTAGGCAATAGGAGCTTCCTTTCAAGGACTTGTTAGGCATCACCTTTAAGACTCAAAAACACATGGACCTAATCTTCTTAGCCCATCTGCAGAAATTCTTGGGTTGGTGATTGCTTGTCCAAGAAGAAGAAAAGACTGGCTCCTTGCTGTTCCTTAGGTCATTTAGCTTTTTGGGAGTAAGTTTTGTAGCAGATCTGTTTATTGGCCTAAACTGATTTTTAAGGTGTGTACGCATAGAGACTTCTGCATTGGTTCTGGAACAGGCCTGGGGGTTTGTTATGGCCAAGCTTGGCTAGTCCTCTCTCAGATCTTACATCCTGCCTGTTAATTTCAGCCTGTAAAGTAGGATTTACAGCCTGTTATCTATGATGATCTGGCTGGCAACCTTGAGCTAATATGACCTAGGCATTTGAGAAACTTTTTGTTTTGGCAGTGCTTGAAAGTCGTACGTTTAAACCCTGATTTGCATAATGCAAGTTCATTACTGCAAAAAATGTGCGTACGCTCTGTTTTAGTTCTTCAGTTTTGCTCAGCTGGCTGCTGTCACATTTCACTAGGTGGTTTTTGCAAGCACAGCTTGCCATCGCTGCTTCTGTATCTACCCTTTGGCTCTTAATTTCTTTGTAATGGTGTTTCCAGGCTTTAGGATCTGTTTTTGCTGTGGCTGCTGCTTTTGTACGTGGCAGACGTGCCCAGTGTTTGTCGTCCCTGAATGTCCATAACCCTGGTACATCCTCCACAAAGGCTTTCAGCCATATCTGTCGAGGAAACTGGTCAGTACTTCATGGAATTCAGGAAATCGGAGTATGATACCTCATCTTAGGACCCCGACCCTGTACTAGATCACAAATTCAATTCATGCGGGCATGGCTTCAGAGACTGTGTTCCTGAGTTTGTGGAGGCTGCTTCTTTGACAGTCTCACTCCTCTCCCAGTTCTGGAGGTAGTTTCAGGGAAATAGCTGTAAGGGAATGCTCTTTGAGTTTGAAAGGAAGTATTCACATACGACGTTTGCTTCCATGCTCCTTTATAAAATCTTGTCTGGAGATTTTTCATTGATGGGTGAGAGTAGGGTTCTGTGGGTCTCTGCATTCAAGTACTTTTGCACTCAGGTGTTCTGGGAGGGAGTAGCAATGACTCCTTGCAAAGTGGGTTTATTTATGTAAGTAGAAAAATCTCTGAGATGAGTTCAGTTCTTAAGTAATTGTTTTCATTTCTTTCAGGTGAAGATGGGCATGGTTTATGTATAGAGTCTTACCTGCTTTTAAAAAGTGTTTTCTGATGCCACAGGAAAAAAGTCATGTTTTTAATGACAGTTTGGACATACAAGTGATGTATTTTATATCATCTCTGATAAAAAAATAGAATGGGGAAAACTAATTCATAACTCTTGCTTTAGGCAAAGCGAATTGGATTAACTGATCATGTCCAGGTTTGGTTCCTAACTCGGTACACCACTGAACCGAAGTCTAATTTAGTTTTAATTAGAACAAACAATTGTTTAAAAAGTTTAGCTAATTCTTAGCTAATTGGATGTTGTTTACCAGTAACTTTTTTCTCTTTTTCCCCTATCACTATGCGTGAGGCTCTGAATGCAAAGGTGCTGAATACTCTCAGTTTATTTAATGCACATATATTTTATAGTTACATTTCTTTTATTTTTGTATTCCTAGTCTGCCAGCCATATTGCTTCCAATCCAAAAGCAAGTGCAAAAATGAAAAAAGATAATATGAAATATGCCAGCTGGGCAGCTAACCAAATAAATAGAGCATACCAGGTTAGTACATCATTGTTTTATGACACTCTTAACATGCTCTGTAGTTCTTTTCTGCATTTTTATCAGCTGCTGTTCAAGAGGCTAGGTACAATGTGTAAATCAGCATAATTTGCATGGAACTTTTGCGTTCTACTTCTGTTTGATTTCCTGGAAGCCTTAATTAATATAAGGTTGGTATTTTATAGTTACTAATTTCTGTAACTTACTAGCTTCAAATAGATTTTTTTTTTTTTTCTACTAACATAACTGAATGTGCACTAGTATAATGTTGACCTCCAAGACTGACTTCTGCAGCTAAGCAATTTTAATATAATTTAGTATGTCTTAATTCTTAGAGTGGCTTGGTCATCTACTTCTATTTTACTAGAAAACAAATGAAAATTCTAGAATTTTGTTTCAGTTTATTCTGACCTTTCAAAATCATATTTAACGGTGTTCCTACTAACTACCTTAGTAATTGTGACTGAAGTTGGTTTTATGTAGTTTTATAGAAAAATGCCCATTGAATTGTGAAAATGTAGATTTTGTAGGCCACAATCAAAGCTTACTGGAGTCATTAGGAGTTTTTTCAGCTATTTGAAAAGTTTTATGCATAAATATCTATATTTGCTTTTGTATTACAAGCTTCTCTATTTTTTTTCCATAACTATGGGTGAAAACAGGTTTTAGCTCATAGGTTCTGCTGTCCATACATCCCAAACATAGTATGTCTATTTGAGTCCCTTATAGCTATTCTTAATGGTCTACCAATCAAAGTTTATGTATAAGTAATTTGAACATCAACATCATACTGGCCAGTTGTCCCCAGAACTTTATCTGAGCAAAAACGTTGGAATTAAATGCAAAGACATTGCATATATGTAATACTCCTTTCTCTCTGTAATATTTCAGTGTCAGAACCCAACATTTATTTTTTATCTTACCACTGCTTTTCACAGTTAGTACTACCAAATGGCCTTTGACCAGTTCCATCTATTATGGAATTAAATTAACATTTTCTTTTATGGACAATGCCGTTTTCTTAACACACTGTATGTCAATTCATTGCCAAGAGTGCAGGTTCTTGTGGCTGACGTGTTTGGGATGTATTACAACTTCGAAGTATTTTCTATTTCCTCTGATTGGCCCTGTAGCTTTTGACCATATGTACAGTGAAGAATATTGTATTCCTGAGGACATAGTTAAGTGTTTTATACTTGTGTGCCTAAAGTTTCTTTGTTTTGCTGTTTAAATGACTCCCTGTTTTTCGTTAATAAACCATTTACGTGCTCATGACAGTAAGATGTGTATGAATTACCAACTTTGTCTGGTTTCCCATAAATAAGCAGAACTTCTTTTGATTTCAGTATGCCTGACATTCCTGTAAGCACAATATTAATGGAAAACTCAAGTATTGCAGGATTTAAAACAAACAAACAAACCTCAAAAACCCCCTTGAAGAACAGAATACACAGTGGATTCACCACTGGTAGAACAAAACAGGTTTTAAAAGATGTGTGAATTTTGAGTGAAAACTATTATTCTATGTTTTACATCTTAATGAAATGAACTGCTTGATTAGAGGGGATTTGAACACGTTTTAAGTGAATATTACGACTGAAGTTTCCAGTCGAAAGCACCACTAGAGACCTGTTAGCACTTCTGGGAAACTGCCCCTTTCAGGGTGCATGAGGATCAAAATGTAAGCCCGGTGTTGGCTGTGGAATGGTGGCATACCGAGGTCAAGACCTAGAAATAGGCATCTTGTGGTTCTAAATATAATGAAAGTTTAATTATGATACTTTGTAGTTTCTTGACTCACAGATAGATCAGCTTGTGTTTTTTTTTTTCTTTTTCTTTTATCTCCACATGGCTTTCTGTTAACATTACAATATCTCTAACAGAATATGGCTTGT